TCCCCAATTCGACGAAAAACCTCTATTCATTTCTCAATCTTCTTTCTCGGATTTGTCTTTACCAGCTTTGATCCTAATTTCTATACCTTGCTTTGATTGAGTTCACACGTGCCGCATCGGTTCGGTTCTGTTCACCGACTTTTATTTCCATTTCGCACAGTCAAATCATCGTATAATCACTTTGTGTCTGTGAATACCTTTCTGGGTTCTGCTCTTTGTTCCGCAAGATTGCTCCTTTGTGTATCAATTCAAAGGTTTGTGGTTTTGAATTTTTAGGGTTTTTCATTTTGTTCAATTTTATTATTTCCTTAATTAACTTTGTTACTTGGAGGGTTTTAACTTTTAATTGCTTCACTAGTTTATCTCATCTCAGTTTGTTGATACTGTCTATGATTATGTTTCAATTTCAGTTTCTCTGATTTACAAGCAGGACATTCAACGGTGCATAATCAGGAAATGAAATTTAACGGTGACAATGACATCTTGAAACTTCGACAAGCCATGCGAGTCAAGATGTGAGCCTTTAAAAGTCTTCCCACTAGTTGCACTTGTTCGCGTCGTATCCATTTTGTTGTGGTGTACTATTTACTTGGGACTAGATTTACTCTTTCTGGGTTACGTTAATCAAATCCTTGAACTCTTGTTTTTTCTATTTCAGTTATAACATTTTACAGCAGAAACAACCGTCTCCAGCTGATGATGCATCAAAGGCCAAGTATATGGGTGTTGCTAGACGCTTAGAGGAGGGGCTATTTAAAGTTGCTAACACAAAGGTATTTATAACCAAAAAAAAAATATCATTTTCTTAAAGTATTGCCACTAAATCCAGTTTGTTGCCGAATGTCACAACTTTGTTTTTGTTTTTCTCATGTATGAAAATTCCAATTTTGAACTACAGGAAGATTACATGAACCAGTCAACCCTTGAACCTCGTTTAGCAAGCCTAATCAAAGGCAGACAGTTGAATTCGCAACCGAGACACACGAGGTCTGTTAATCAAATCTTTTGTAGAAAGAACCTAATAATTTTGTTATGTTCCCTTTCGTAGGAACTTCTCTATGAAAAAGAGAAGCTTCTTGAGAAGGGCCGGGAGATCGATGGGAGACTGAGATCGAGAATCTGAGATCAGAGAGTCTCTATTGTTGAAAACATTCTTGTGAGTTTTTTTTTTCCCGGGGAAAGAAAAACGTTTTCATTTCTTCTGTTAGAATAAAGATGAGATCATCTATGCATCTGAAAACTCCTTTGTAATCCAGCTTTGTGCTGTGTAATTGAATTGTTTGTTGTACCGACCTGAGTTTTGAATTTCGGTTCATGAGTTCCGGTTAAGTGTTTGGTTTGGAAGAACAGCGAGCAATTTACAAGGGGTAAAATTGTAAATAAAGAAAAGTTTGATCGGACATACTTAA